GCCAATTTCACTAGTTACCACACATTCCAATGAGATGGGTATCTGTGTGGGCAGCTGCTGACAAGTCGGTACAATGGTGCGATTGTTTCTTGTCTCTGGTTTGTCCGATTGCTGATTTTTTTGGAATCAAAGGTGCCAGTCATGTAATTACAGCGGTGAGTAATCACAGAACAGAAAACTGAGAGTTTCCAACAGGAATGTCATCTGGATGCGGAAGTGGATTAGAACTGTGAAGGAACTGCAATCTACCTTTACGTTATAGACCAACACATTATAGACACATTACAACACAAGTTCATGCTGATGCTTTTGTTATTCAAGTGCCAGTTTGGCTCAGTTGGTGTCGCACTTGGGTTCAAGCTCCATATCAGGACTTTCAGGTTGTAGGTCCAGCACTTGACAGTGTCATTACTGACTGCTAAATGTTTGGAGGGGCTTTACTTTGGATGAGATGTTAAGCCAAAGTTCTCCAGGTGAGCATTACAGTTCTTGTAATCTCATGACAATATTCAAAAGAACAAGGAGTTTCTCCCAGTGTCCTGGTCAACAAACATCCGGATAAATTGGTCATTCTGTTTGTGAGACCGTTTGTAATTACAGAATTAACAGTAGTTACTGTGAAGTGCTCTAAAAAGTTTTGGTGTAGTAAGACACTATGAAAATGAGAAGTATTCATGATAGCACCCCTCAAAAGTCAGGAGGGGTCTCTTTAAGGTAACATGTAGCAACTACAGGAGGGAGACTCCGGTCCACAACAACAACCAATGACATTTACACAGCATATTTCATGTTGGGAGGATGTTCCAAGGAGCTGGACAGTCAAGGATTTGGATCCGAGCAGGGGGTTGGGATCAGGAGGGGTGGAGGGCAGGGAGAGTGGGGATAGGAGGATGACCGAAGGCACGGTTGAAGAGGAGAGTCTTGAGAGGAGAGGGAGTGAAGCAAAGGAATGTGGGATGGAGTTCCAAAGGATTGGGACAGACAGGCTCATGGTCTGAACCCTGATGGTAGGGCGGGCCGTATGGGAGAATGGATCGGGCAGTACGGGGGAACGGATCAGGCCGGAGCAAACTCAGTGGAGGATGCTAACAGGTTTATATAGATTTAGTAAGTCACAGAGGTAGGGAGGAGCAAGGCCATGGAGGGCTTTGAAGACAAGGATGAGGATTTTGAACTCTGTGGGATGGGGAGCCAGAGGAGACGAGTGAGGGTGGGATGATAAAGTTACGGAGCTTGGTGAGGAGATCGCACTGGTGCAGAGTTCTAAATGATCTGCAGCTTGTGGAGGGAAGAGTTGGGAAGGCCAACAAGCAAGAAGTCAGTGTAATCGAGCCTGGACATGATGAATGCATGAAAGAGAGTCTCAGTGGACTGAGGTTGAGAGGCAGAGCCGGAACCAGGGATGTTGGAGAGATGGGGGAAGGCAGAAAGGGTCAAACAAAGTACCAAGGGAAAGAGTGCATCCATGGCTGGATATTGAAGAGGAAGAGACCAAGGACAGAGCCCTGAGGAACGTTGAACGAGACAGTGCGGGGGCTGGAGGAGAAGACGTTCAAGCTGTAGTCCGTCATCCCTGGTATCTGCCAGTCGTCACTGTCAAATCTCACATGTCATTCTGGTCGCCAGTGTAACCGTCCTCCAGTAAAATAAAGAGGAGTCAAACAGCTTCAGGAGAGGAAGGATGAGGATTGGCGAGGAAGAGAAAGAACTCGCAATGAGGCAGTGTGAGCAACAGCTGCCAGTAATAATAATAATACAATAATAACCTTTCAAGTCAGCAAGACGTTTCAAAAAGCTTCATAGGAATTGAATCAGAGAATCTTACCACACAGAAGGAGGCTATTCAGCCCATTGTGCCTGTGTTGGCTCCTTGAAAGAGCTATCCAACTAATCCTCTTACCCCACAGCCCTGCAAATTTTTCCTTCTTACAAGATCTTTAATGATTACAAGATCTTTAATGCTCACCTGGAGAACTTAATGCTCACCTATCCGATTCCATTTTAAAAGCTGCTATCGAATCTGCTTCCACTACCCTTTTAGGCATTATATTCCAGACAGTAACGACTATCTGCGTAAAAAAAAGTCTCCTCGTCTCCCCTCTGGCTCTTTTGCCAATTATCTTAAATCTGTGTCCCCTGATTATCGACCCGACCGCCAGAGGAAACAGTTTCTCACTATCTGCGCTAACAAAACCCCTCATAATTTTGAACACCTCGATTAAAAAATCCCCTTAACCTTCTCTGCTGTAAGGAGAACAATCCCAGCCTCTCTCGTCTCTCCACATAATTGTCGTCCCTCATCCCTGGTATCATGGTAAATCTCCTCCGCAACTTCTCCAAGTCCCTAACATCCTTCCTGAAGTGTGGTACTTTAGGTGCTCAGAACTGTCTGGGCCTTGTAGTGTGATCAGAACAGTTAGTACTTCGAGTGAGACCAGGATTCTTAGCTGCTGCTGTCACTGATTCAGTATTTCATTGACAGAATCATATCCTTAGAAAAAAAACTAACAGTTTACTTTTCAGGTAGCGAAGTAATAATGTGACCCTTTGTGAGGAACACTGGGGCTCACTGGATCTTTCAGAAATAAGTGAACCGTGAAGTACGAATGTTTCTCCAGCCATCCGCATAATCTTCACGCATTTATGTGTGACAGACGTTCACAGCAGGTCAGCAAGATGACTTTACATCAGCACGAGCCCTCTGCCAGGGTTGAATTTAATCACTTTAGATTTTGTGCACATACAAAGGCCTGTCATGTATTCAGGATAAATCCGCTTATTTTAAACGCTTCACAGGCATATGGGAACATTTTGCTCGTTCGTTCCCTGAAGTACGTTCGTTAACAAGCGTCCACTGCAATATCGAAATGATGAGAGAGGACATGTTTATGCGCCGTTCCCCAGAGGCTGAGTGGTTTACCGCGGACGGCCTCTGGAGGGCGGTGGTGAGCCAAGACGGGGGGTTTCACAACGAGGGTGGAAATCACAACAAGTATTATGGGCTGGATTCACACGTCACCCACCAACTGATGTTAGCAAATTGTCTTCACACGTACCAGCAAATGGTCTTCGCGCGCACCCAGCCGGGGAATAATGAGCCGGGTCAGCAGTGTCCGGAAAAGTCAACGTCAAAAAACTTTTTTAATAACAATCCTTGCATTTGAGATCGTGCCTTAATCCCGTTGTTAAGATGTCCCAAAGCGCCTCACGGAATATATTGTCGAGTGAATCGACTGCGTAGTTTTGGGGGTGAATCGCGGCAGCCAATTGCACACAAACCGTTGTGGATTGAGCGACCAAATAACTATTATTTTTAAAAGCATTTTCGAAGGGATTATTACCCCCCCCACCGCACCGCACCGCACCGCACCGGAAAAGGAAATGGGGACATATATTTACTTACTCCTTTTTGGGTGGGTGGGAGGTAAGTAAATACATATCCCAAGTTCTCTCTGTTTCCTGGTCATTGCTTGCCACCTATGTATCTGCAACCGATCGATCCAGAGAGTGACGGTTTCTGGCCAGGCCTCTGGTTGAAGTCTTCTGAAAATGGTGACTGGGTGGATAGAGTACAAATTCGCTGGATGCCAGTGACTCTCCCTGTGTTGGCTTGGGATCAGAAAGACGCTGTGTGTGGGGACGAACTTGCTTTGCATCACTGGCTGACACTGTGCATCGAGACACTGCCTGCCAGAAGGTAAATTACTCATGTGAATTATTTACCAATTCAGGATTAAGGACTGCTCCTTTTTTTCTCTTAGTTATCAGTGGTGTCTACGCCACATCAAGAGATGACAGCGCCAGGGAGAATAACAAAGAGAACATTTTGGCTCCTCTCGCTGGTTATAATACACCTTTTTTATTTTTCAGACCAGAACCTTTGACATATAGCTGTAAAAGTACCCCTGCAGGGTACTGAAAGGTGCTATATTATTATTATTATTAATGTAAGTTGCTGTTCTAGCTTCCACAATTTGCTTGTGACTTGGACAGTATTAGCATCTGGGCTGGAATAATACTACAACACCAACAAATTACACTTGCGTAGCGCCCTTCATGTCGGAAAGGGCACTTTCCCAGGGCACTTGACAGTCAGGGATTTTGGACCCAAGCAGAGAGTTGGGGTCAGGAGGGGTGAAGGGCAGGGTGGTCGAAGGCACGGTCAAAGAGGAAGGTCTTTAGATGGGACTTGAAGGAGCCAAGAGAGGGGGTGAGGTGGAGGGATTGCGCGATAGAGTATAAATTTTATACATTAAAGTTAGAATTATTATTGTGGAACTGGTCCACTCTGTGCAAAAGCAAATTCTTCTCCCTCTTTTTTTCTTGTGAGGGTCTTACACCTCTTGTTAGTGGCTGGACGTTCAGTGGAAATACAGTAGCAACATTTGCAGTAATCTTTAACGTGTTCGCTGCACTAATTAAAACAAGAAATGTTTCAAGGAACGCAGGGAATTTGCTCCTCAACCAGTTGGAGCTGGTGGAAAGTCTGTGCCGTGTATTTTCCGCAAGCCTTAAAAAGGACCGGCTTCCTAAATCGCACCGATATAATATCATAATAATCATAAAACGAAGAATTTTCCAAAGTTCTGCTCAACTTTCAATTTGAGGACAAAATCAATCAGACCGGGTGGAATTTTAGGCCTCGGACGTATCCAATGCAAAGATTATTATTATTATTTCTAGCGATTTACCTGTCTTGAAGACTAATGACATCTGATGGGAAAATATGGCTGTGTGTCTTGAGTTTGAGGAGTTTTTTTTCTCCGTGGCTGTGAGCTGGTGATTCCCTGCTGATGCTGTGACTGTGTGTACTGGAGACTGGAGGAGGAGGAGGAGGAGGAGGGAGGAGATTCCTGGCTCTCAGCTGGGAGCAGCTGATATAAAAACACACAGACACAGAGGTTGTATGTCAGAGGAGATCCCAATCCCAACCCCACCCACTCACTCACTCACTCACTCACAACACAGAAATCACACACAGAACAATACAATCCACCTCAAGGCAAGCGACCAGCTGAGCACAGAGCTGAGGACAAGGCTGAAGGCATATGTGTGTGTGTGTGTGCGTGTGTGTGCGGTCTTCCTCCCCTACAGCACAGGAGGTGAGAACAAGGCACTGAGAGCCAGACACAGAGAGGGAGAGACAGACAGAGACAGGCTCTTCGCTGGACCAGACATCTTCATTGCTGTGGAGGGATGAGGAGGGAGTGGTGCAGGTGTGTGCAGGTTGCTGGCTGCTGAGGGAGGGGACGGGACAAGCGGTCAGCAAACTCAGGGGCGATGCGAATGCGCAGTTTTTTCGCTTGCGCGAACACACACAAAGCCTGTTGCTCAGCACGTTGGCAGTGTTTTGCTGTCGCTGCTTTCTTTTGTGTGCGTGTGCGCGTATGTGTGTGAGGAGCCTGAGCCCGACAGTGTGCCTTGTTGTGGGAGGTAAGATATTTTATATTCCTCCTCTTAATTTCAACCTGTTTAGAAAATTGGATTAAAGTGAGAGAGAAAGAGAGATAGAGAGAGAGAGAGAGTGAGAGACAGTGAGTGAGTGTGAGAAGCAGAGACTGGGGCTGTGCAGGTGACGGGTGTCACTGTTGCTCACACACTCGGGATGTTCTTTGTGCTCAAAGAAATGGGCATTTTGCAAGGTTTTTTGTGTGGGTTTATTTGCAATGCCACCTCGTTATTGTTGGGCAATAAAGCTGAAAGGTCGAGGAAACTGAAGAAACTGAGGATTTCTTACTCAAAAGTGCCTTTTTCTTAGATTCAACCGTTATTCCCCCAAATCAAATAAAATTGGTCACTCCTTTCATGGCTGTTTGTGGGATATTCTTGGGTGCAATTGTGCTGCTGCCTTTGCCCTACGAAATTCGGGACTTGGGCAAGTCAAAGGAGGAAGGGAATAATTACATCTAATAATGCATTAGTCCTTGTAAAATCACTTCCATATTATTTGTAACCCATTGACATAGTATTTAAGAGGTTAAAGTTCTCCACAGTCCTTCCATCTCACAGTAAATCTTGTGAAGCCCTTTGAATAGTCCTTCCGACATGATGAGGCACGAGACCAAACACAGGGGTTGTTGTTGTTGTTATATTCAGGCGTCCCGGTGATGGGGAGAGAGGTAGGAAGGCTAACGTTTCCTCTTCCCCAATCTCTTAAAGTATCAGGTGTAAAGCAGAGACTGGAGATATTTTTGACTCTGGAATTAGGAGAACTTTAACCTCTTAAATACTGCGTTAATAAGGACCTAAGAATTCGCGAGGCGAAAGAAGACCAAGGTCCGTCTAGTTTGCCTTCCACCATCCTGGCAGTCACTGGACATGTCGTGTCCCAAACTACTGTATCCTGAGATATTATTTTCTGGCAGAAATCTATCCAGTTTGTTCTTGAAACAAATGACATTTTCTGCTTCCACCGTCCGTCTCCCTTGGGAGATTGTTCCACAATGAGTTACAAATAATATTGAAATGATTTTACAAGGACTATGATTTATGAGGATGGAATTACTCCCTTCCTCCATCAACTTGCATTTAAAATATTGTATAAAAAAAGCTGAGAAAAGCAATCAGGTTAACTTTGGTTCAGGTACAGTACTGTAATTATTGATCAGGCTCGGAGCATGGTGAGAGACGTGGGTCAGGCAGGGAGGTTGGTGTTGTTTCTGGGATACATAGGCGTGAGAAGAACAGACAAGTAAACAATTAACCCTGTAACCTCCCCGGTGGCGTTGAAGAGAATGAAGAGACGGAGGTGAGAGGAAATGCTGACCGAGTTCATGTGCTTGAGCCTGGGCCCAACATCGGCTTGACTCGGACAAAATGTGATTCGTTTTAAAGGAAATTTTGGATTTTTGTTATTCTTGTTGGGGGTCAAAATAGCCACTCTGCATTAACAGAGATGGGAAGAGGTTAAATAGTCCTGTAGGTAGGGAGGGGAAAGCGAGGGGAAACATGGGGGTGTTGGGGGTGGGGAGGAGAGTTTTGAAAGTGGGGAGAATGTGAGGCGGAGGGATATGGGGAGAATTCCATAATCCTTCCGCCTTTGTCTCTGAAAAGCTCTTCAAGACATTAATCTACGAGACGAGATGTGAAAGGTCGGCCCCTCTTTGTTAAGCTTCCACTTCAGTCAGACTGAGCGAAGGAACAACGCTTGGTGTTTTGAGGCAGATGCTGTTAATTTGACTCCTTGAATCTAAAGGGGTGTGTGAGTGAGTGAGCGAGTGAGTGAGTGAGTGAGTGAGCGAGTGAGTGAGTGAGCGAGTGAGCGAGCGAGTGGGCGAGTGTGTGAGTGAGTGAGTGAGTGAGCGAGTGAGTGAGTGAGTGAGTGAGCGAGTGAGTGAGCGAGTGAGTAAGCGAGTGAGCGAGCGAGTGAGCGAGTGTGTGAGAGTGAGTGTGTGTGTGTGTTGGAGCAAGTCTGAGGGGAGAGGTCAGAGGAGGAAACTGAACGCCAGGATTTTTCCGAGTTGAAGTATAGGATTTTGAGTTCTCTCTGGGATTTTTCTTCTTTGCTGAAGAAAGAATCCCTCCGCCTCGCCTCGCCGCCCCTCCCTCCGCGCTTTCAAAACCTTTTCGAAAAACTTAGCTCTTCGACGAGAGACCTTTCGAACACCTCCCTCCTCCCCTCCCCCACCTTTCCGCTGGCTCACGTCGCACACTTCCATCGTGTGAATGGATTTCTGAATATTTCAGACCAGCTGGCGTGAGGGTTTGACCTTTCAACGTCAATATGGATGAGACAGGTCGGGTTGGGCGAGGACTTGGATGATATATCATGATATTTCCTGATCAAACAGTGTCCAGTGGAGGCTGTAGCGCAGGGAATCTGTCGGCAGTGGAACTGAAACAGGCAGTACCTTTATCACTCCAGAACAGCCGCCAGAGTCCCTTTAATGCTAACAACAGGTTACTTCCCCTTTCTGCCGTACGCGACACACATTTCACCAGGACTTCACTACTTCTGTGGCTTTCAACCTCCACAAATTTTCTCCTTGCAGCGATAACAGTGCAGACGTTCAAAGCAAAATAAGCCCCGGATTGCAGTGCGATCCGAGTATAGAGCCGCGAGGAGAGCGAGTGGATGCCGAGGACCTCCTCTCTGTCGCTTATTTAAAGAAACATGGTCTTTTTCCTGGTTTGTCACGTATAATATGTGGAGTTCCTGTCGCTCAGTGGTTAGAGCATTCGCCTCGCCAGCGAGAAACTTGGGTTTGATTCCCGGCAGAGCAAAATGTTGGGCAAGTTTCCTTACTCCACGAGCCTCTGTTTACAAAGCAGTAAGTAGGAACCGGAGGTAATAATTCCTTGAAAAAAAAGAATAATAAATTCAATCCACGACTGTTTGTGGAACGCTGCTGTGCGCAATTGGCTGCCGCATTTCACCCACAAAATATACAGTCAATTCACTTTGCGGTATATTCTGGGAGGCGCTTTGAAACGTCTTGAATAATAATAGTAATACTTTTATTTGGTATAGCGCCTTTCTCTTCAGGAGAGCATCAAAAAGTACTTCACAAGGTATGTTTGCGTTCTCACAGTAGAGGAAGAGGACAAAGTACTAGCGGGACAAGGAAACCTAAAAATAAGCCAAAGAGAAGTACTAAATGGATTTAATATAAATTGAAAAATGGTAACGGAGAAAATAATGGGACTAAAGATAGACGCATCTCCAAGATCTGATAGATTCACCTCAGGGTATTACATGAAATAGGGGAGGGATTACAGATGCTTTAGTCATAATTTTCCAAAGTTCTCTATATTCGGGAATTGTGCCACTAGATTGGAAAATTACAAATGTCACACCATGATTTAAAAAGGGAGGGAGGGAGGTACCAAGTAATTACAGACTTGTCGGCTTAACTTAATTTGTGGGGAAGTTACTGGAATCTGTCATCGGGGTCAGAGTGACCGAGAACTTGGGTTGATCAAAAAGAGTCAGCGTGGATTTGTGAAGGGCAGGTCATGTCTGACGAATCTAATTGAATTTTTTGAGGAGGATACTAACATGGTGGATAAAAGAGTGTCTATGGATGTCGTCTATATGGACTTTCAGAGGCATTTGATAAGGTTCCCCACAAGAGATTGTTAGCAAAAATGAAAGAGCCTGGAATCAGAGGTAACCTCGCGATATGGCTTGATAATTGGTTAGGCGGCAGGAAGCAGAGAGTAGGGATAAAAGGAACATTTTTTGATTGATGTGACGTGGCAAGTGGTGTTCCCCAGGGGTCTGTACTGGAGCCTTAGCTTTTCACCATATATATAAATTATTTGGATGAAGAAATAGAGAATTTTATATCCATACTGGCCGATGATATAAAATTAGACGGCACAGTAAATTGTGTAGGTGGCAGCGGGAAGTTACAAAGGGACTTAGACATATTAAGTAAGTGGGAAAAACTGTGGCAGCTGGAGTTTAATGTGGGGAAGTGTGAGGGCGTCCACTATGGATCTAAAACTAGCAAAACAGAATATTTTCTAAATGGTGAGAAACTTAAAAACTGTGGAGGAGCAAAGGGATTTGAGTGTCCATGTGATTAAATCACTAAAAACAAGCTCACATGTACAAAAAGTTATCAAAAAGGCTAATGGGATGTTGGCCTTTATCTCAAGTGGGCTGGAATATAAAAGAGGGGAAATGATGCTTCGACTTCAGTCAATTGAAAAGGGATCTAGTCAAGGTGGACTGGAAAGAAAGATTGATTGGCAAAACGGCTAACGAGCAATGGGGAGCCTTCAACAACAACAAAGTTATGTTTAAATAGAGCCTTTCATGTCGGGATGATGTTCCAAGGCACTGGGAAGGAGGAGATAGTACGGGGATAGAGCAAATACATTCCCACAAAGGGGAAAGGTAGAGCTTCCAAAGTTTGGCCCGGCTCACCCCTGTCTCACACCGCAGGCTGCCGAAACCCTCATACATGCATTCATAACATCCAGGCTTGACTATGCAAACTCGCTGCTTGTCGGCCTCCCCAACTCCTCCCTCTGTAGGCTGCAGATCATCGAGAAACCTGCACCCGTGTCTTCTCCCACACCAAGCTCGTTGACCCTATCATCCCCATCCTCGCCCAACTCCCCTGGCTTCCCGTCACACAGAGGATTCAGTTCAAGATCCTGGTCCTCACCTTCAAAGCCCTCCCTCACTCCCCTCTACATCTGTGACTTCCTAACCCTCTACCAACCTGCTCGCTCCCTCCGCTCAGTGGGCTGCTTCACCATCTCC